TCTTGCTCTGTTCCTCCTTTTGTTCATTTGTTCATTCATTTGACAAACATTCCGTGACACAGTCCAGGGCCAGAGCCCCCTCCTGGGTGCTGGAGATGTGGAAACGGGAGGCAGCCCCCATTCCTGACCCCTTGCTCTCATAGAGGTCATGTCTGAGAACAGAAAGATGAAGCTCTTTTCTGGCTGTGCTGGGCCCAGGTTCTCCATCTTTCAGCTCCCAGCTGAATGCGGCCGTCTCGTCCTTTTGTTTTTTAAGCAGCAAGACCCCGAAGGCCAGAAAGAAGAAACAGCGGGTCATGCCGTGACCCAGTAATAGAGTAGAACTACTAAATAGAGAAAGAAAAAGTTGGCCACAATTATGCAGCACTCGTGGTGTGTCACACCCCTTTCTAAGCACTTTAAACATATCAATTCATTCCAATCAGAGTCCACAAGACAAGTTCCGCTATAAGCCCCATTTAAAGGTGAAACAGATCCAGAGAGAGCAAAAAACTTACCCAATTCTCACAGCTTGTAAGTGGCAGAGCTGGGATTTTGGAACTCTGGGGCTCCTACCTCCGCTTATCTTTTCACCTCTCTGTCCTGCCATTTTCTTTTCTTTTTACTTTTTATTTTGGAGCCAGGGTCTCGCTCTGTCGCCCCGCCTGGAGTGCAGTGACGCGATCATAGCTCACGTATCTTAGCCTCCAATTCCTGGGCTCAAGCGATCCGCCCACCTCAGCCTCCGAAAGTGCTGGGATTACAGGCGACCATGCCCAGCCTGATGTGCAGCTAATTTTTTCATTTCTTGTAGAGAAGAGGTCTTGCAATGTTGCCCCAGGCTGTTCTCAAAACCCTAGCCTCACGCGATCCTCCTGCCTCTCCCTTCCAGAGTGCTGGGAGGCCCCAAAATATATTTGTTTATTCATTTGTTTGCCTTCGCACGAGGACGGGGACTGTTGTCTATATTGGTCACCTATTGAGCAGCTCGTATGTGCCATGCCCTGTTCTAGGCACAGGGGATCCAGCAGTGGA